CACAGTAAGCATACACAAAAGAATACAAAAAAATACAAATTAAATACAAAACAAAGAATATAAATACAACACAAAAGGAAATTATAGCAATTTGGTCGATAGATTGACCAGTGATATGGTATTGCACTGTATGGTTCTCTGATGAAAACAAGCTATATATATATATATATATATATATATATATATATATATATATATATATATATATATAAACCAAAGAGGTAGTAATATATTAACCTCTGTATTCAAAGTTCACCAGGAACACCCTCATTATTGTCAAAGTGTCAAATAGGAGGTTATTAGGTGTAGGGTTATAATGAACTGCCAGCTTAACACGCTGAACCAACAATAAACTGAACAGAACAGTGTCCTACTTAAAGGTTTCTGTCGAGTAAAGAGCCATCACCTCTTGATAATCCAGTAATAGAAAGAGGTATAAAGTTAACTAAAGTTTAGCAACGTAAGATTGAATTCAGACTTATTCTGCCTGATTCTTGATTGATGGTTGAAACAAGCACAGCTGATCAGCAGCTTTCTCTCTCTCTCTCTCTCTCTCTCTCTCTCTCTCTCTCTCTCTCAAATTTTACAGAGGATTTTAGAAGAACTCAACATCAAACAAAGCAGTCAAAAATAATTGAGCTAACTAAAAATAACCTTAAAGATGTGGGTGGGATGGATCAAACAGCTCCTGCATTGTGCTGGTCTGAAATTTGCCAGTCTGGTGCCATCCAGCATGTTTGTAGTCAGTGCTTTCAGGGCGCAGCGGGTCCGGTTTCCTTTTTTTGTTCACTGGTTCCAAATTTAAGATAAAGGCGGCCATTGTCGGATCACAATGCAGACTGGCAAATTCTCTCTAGACGTTATGTACTCAAAGTGTGACGTTTATAATAAGAAACTCTGTTTGTCCCAGTGGACCCCTCTATGGACTGCACAACTCGATTTATGGGTTTAACCCATTTTTGTGGTGTAAAAGTTTGTATGATACGCTCTGAATCAACGCATTCAGGTAACCCAATAGTCACTACCTTGCGCTTTAAAAGTGAATGCAGAATGAGGCTGCCAGCAATGCAGAGCTTGCCAAGCATTGACACATCCTTTGGGTAACAACCTGGAGAGGCGGGTCACCATGAGTCCTGTCCATTGCTTCTCATCCAAGGCAGTGAATCTTCCCAAATAGCAAAGTGGTGATGTGACGTTCATGAATGGTCCGATTCTTTTGAACGGCTCTTTACCCTGTCTCTGCTCTTTGTTTTCTACTACTTTACTTGTTTGTAATGTTGTGCATGTACTGCAGTAGCTGTTACTATTTAACTCAATTTGAAATCATTAGTAATATTAGTATTTAGCTTAATTTGAGGTCTATGGTAGCAGACTGCACAGGGGGCAGGACAGTTGCTCACTGTTTTTTTGTCAGTTTATTTAATGCAGATTATTTGACACTTTTTTGTGAATTTCACCCAAACATATTTATTTCTCTGAATAAATATAAAAGTGGATTTGGAATAAAATGGCTTGTTCTTGATTAAAATTGCATACATTCTCAAAAATGATTGACTTGAATGGCTCTTTGAATTGAATGGATCATTCGGTTCCCTGGAAAAAGAGCCAGAAATCCCATCAGTGGAACAGTGCAAATAACTGAAAATATATAGTTCCCTATCTTAAACTATCTTTGAAAGTGATGGAAAATGTTATGTTATTTTAGAACTTCATCTGTATCACAGAAAGCCAGTATGATTTTCTATGAATGTTATCTGTTTTTTTTTATTTTTTATGTGAACTGACTTCGTCAAGCTACTAATGCTTGACGAAGCATTAGTTGCATTTGCAATTCATTGCAAATGCAATGAATTGCTTGCTCATCTTTATAAACATAAAGATGAGCATAATGAAATATTGGATGAAAACAGTGGAGGTACAGTTGGGTGAGCTATATATCAACTTCAGCCACCAAAAATCTATTTACATGCAATATAATTAACAATTTCATGAGGTCTTTGGCTTATGCAAGGCCACTGATGGAAATAAAAATGGAAAATAACTGGCTTTTGAGAGAGTTGAACAATGTCGCTATAAAAAGTTTCCCATTTTCCTTTAATCATAACATCTCCCTCCTTTAACAATAAAACTTATTTCCACACTTTTGCCCAAAACCAGTAAGGTCACCTATGAAAAAAAAGACATCCTATAAATAGCTCCAGTAACAGGGTGGGAAACGCTGTCTGGACCTCTGAACGTCTGGGTCAGTGGAAAGGTCACAGGCGGGCATGCTTTCTTCTGACTGTTCCTTCATAAGCAGCAGTGACTCCCACAGACAGCTGTTCACAAGAGTTTGCAGACTAAAAAACAAAACAACTGCGAACTGGGAATGACTGCGGTTGCATTTCCCACCGCACACAGCGGCAGTACTGTTTGTATTTACACAGAAAAAACAAAAAGCACACACCTTTTTTATCAGCTCTAACCTTGACACCCTGTTCTTTGGTTACTGAAGAAGAACGGAGGGAAAGAATTTAATCAAGATAATTTTTTTCTCCATGTTGTTTGAATTCAAAGACAAGATAATTGAGTAAGATGTCTCTGTTCCTATTTTAGATTTAGAGGACAGTATGATTTTTTAAGTGTTACAAAAATGCAGAACGTTGTGCCCTGGATCTCCAACAATGACCCCTACCCTGAACATCAGTAGCATGACCTCGGAATGACCGCTAGATGGCAGACTATCGCACTAATAAATGTAATAAATGCCTTGATGTTGTAGTTAGAGAAATGGCCAGCAGAGCTCAGAGTTGTTCAACTTTTGCGTTTGTTTCAGTCCAAAACAAAAAGAGTTATATTTATAAATAGGTAGCATAAGGTTTTCCGTAGTTGAAGCTCAAACTGACCTGGATGGAGAATTTTAAGAAATCTGAACTCCAATCCAAAATATTTAACAGCAGCAATGGCTATTGGTTAAAAAGATTATAAGCAGTAGTAGCTCTTATATAATGACCAGAAATCTCATACCGAGGTTTAGATCTCATTTTAAAAATCCACATATTTTTCAAAACATGCAGTCACTCCTTTTTCTTTCACACATAGTACACTGAAGAGGTGCATTGTGTCAACAGTAGATATTTTCCCCCCTTTTTATGCGTCCTGTGTTGCTAAATAGAAACCCAATAGATTTACTTTCACAAGTGCAGAATTATGGCTCTATGTCAAAAGGTTTATTTCTGTTTAAAAAGTTGGGCTTTATCTGCATTAATAAATGTCACCCATTAATAGTCAGAATTTCAAAACTGCATGTTATATTTTCTTAAATGTTTTCTATCTTATATTAAAATTTGCTCGAACTAAGTGGGGGATTCGGGTATTTCCTGACTGACTGAAGATTCAGTGGCAGTGTCGAGACACTATTGCACGAGAACTCAAGGTGCTCCTTTATGATTCAAGAAAAAATGGCTATTTAAAAAGACAAGGTTAATTATTCACAGGTTTGTAAATCTTTTTGATAAATACATTTTAGTCTTGTTATTTGGTGAGATGTCAGTTACTCTGTTCTGAGTTCAGTTTAAGGGAGTTAGTGTTTCATTCTTACCTTTTCAAAAAAACATTCCACAGTCTGATTTCGATGATTTTTATACTAAAAAAGGCAAAGGAGCATATCTGAGATCCCGAGCTATTTGGATTGAGGATGGTGAGAAAGGTGCTGCATATTTCTGTAGATTAGAGAAAATTAGACAAGAAAGAAATGCAATGAATTGCTTGCAAATTGATAATAAACCATACACTGACTCAAATTTGATATTCAAAGAAATTTTTACTTTTTATAGCAATTTCATATTCTTCCGCATATAATAACTCATTCTATCATTCTGTTCAACATTTGATTCCTAAAATTGATGAAAATTCTAAGCAGATATGTGAGGCAGAGGAATTGGATAAAGCTTTGGCTGCTTTATCCAGGGACAAAGCTACAGGCTGTGACGACTTAACAAGTCGTCACATATATAAACATTTTTGGGTTTCCCTGAGAACACTGAAAAAAGGTGTCATCATGCTCATTCCTAAACCCGGACAAGATCCAACTCTGCTTGATCATTTAAGACCGATAACACTATTAAACAGTGATCATAAGCTTCTGACACACATTTCTGCCAACAGGTTAAAATCAGGCATGACCCAAATTATTTCTGACACTCATCTATACATAGTAACATTCGCCATCTTCCCCAGAATGTTCATACATCTGATGCCCATAGCATGTTTGTTGCATATGATGGTAATAATAATAATAATAATAATAATAATAATAATAATAATAATAATAATAATAATAATAATAATAATAATAATAATAATAATAACAGAGAAAAGGGTCATTTCCTGTAAAATGTCCGGTCACGTGGTTATTAGAGAAGCGTTCCCGCCCCTTTCTGTTAGCGGTGAGCTACAGCTACAGGTTGGTTACCTAGGTTTACCCCCGTGCCCGCGGCGCGTGCTCGGAGGTCAGGTGCAGCAGCAACTTCCCCAGCAGAAGTACGCATGCGCATCAGTATGTAATCTTTCTTCGGAGGTTAACGTCCAAGTACCCACTGACAACAAACTGTCGACAGAAAAAGTTTGAATACTTTATTTTAATGTACTCAGAAGACGTTTGCGGAATATTCAGTGGATGTGTTTGCGCTGTACTTCGTCCCTCCTGGTCTCAAAGTTAGTTTTGTGACTATCTAATTAGACTGAAACCTAATTCGTGGGAGCTAGTTCCGCCTTGTGCTCTCTGTGAGTCATGGACAGCACCGACGAGTGTCAGGAGTAACCAGGACACCGGTGGGAAACGCGTCTCCGGGTCTCGAGGGTCCATCTCCACACAGTTAAAGTAGGCACTCGAAAGGGTGAGTATCTGCGGCGCGCAACACTCCACTGTGAGCCGGGATGGGAAGTGGGATCTCTTCATATGAAGCTCACATAGCAGCAGTAGCAGTGGGACAAGATGTAGCCACCTGTTGCTGGCTTACTCAGCTTTAGCCGCCAGCGGTCAGGGATTAGCATTATACCTTTGTTGATGTAATAAGTCACTCTGTACTAACTACCCAAGTTTTGTTAGGTCGGAACAGAAACATTACTCGTAGAGTAAGGCTATATTCCAAACTGTGTCGTTCAGGATTAGGCTGGCGTTTGTTGGGATGAAGCTAAACAAGCTGGAGAAGTTATCTAACCTGTTAGCTGAAGTTCGTGTCTGATTGGAAGCAGGGTAAAGGGTTATTCCACCCTTTTTGCGAAAATCTGGGCGAATTCTTAACTGCAATATTCTGCACGGCTTAAAGTCTCATTAATACACAATCTGAGATTAAGGAGCCAATTAATCTGCTTATTCTAAGCACTAATTGTGGGGATTTCTAGAATGTCTTGACTCATAATTGGATCAAGTATATACTCTTCAGGAAATGGTTGTGTAAATTGAGTTAATCAATGTAGAATAATGCACTTCAGGTTTATGTTTTATATTTTGTGCTGAAGTTGATCAAATGTAGTTCACGTTCCTCAAAAACAGGGAAACGGCATTGTAGTTTGGTTCCAGATTCAAGGTTGAATCAGATGCTAAAGTGTGTGTTGTCAGTGCATACCTAAATATGAACGCCTGAATTGATCCTTCTGGGTTCCGACATGTACTGAATGTTGAATACCGGCTGAGGCTTTTTATGACTGGGATGGTTAAGGTGGGAAGTAGAAGGAACAAGTCTGCCCTTTTACCAAGCATTCCAGGACATTCCTTTGTCAACCCCTGAGTCTTGTTCTGACAAGCACCGTGTGCCTGAAAACAACAGCACACCCGGTAGGGACAACCGTACAGCTGGAGGACAAAAAGGAACTGCTTGTTGTAAATAGACAGCGCTGTGTTCAGGTCAGTAGTGTTTCTGGTGCTTTGTACATTTACTGTTTTTGAAATTGAACTTCGTTGTTGTTGTTGTTGTTGCTGTTTTTTGTTTTCATCAAAACAGTTTGAGATATATTTTTTTTTTGTTAAAACAACTATTTGTTTCTTTTGTTTGTTTGTGAATTTTGATGCTACGTATAAACAAGTGAACTAGATTTGTCAAAACAAGATGTTTATAGTTGGTACAAAACTCACATAGAATTGAAAGGGGTTAATGGGCGTGTTCAGATGAAATTAATTAAGCTTTTAGTGAAGTTTGAAAGTGTTGTGGAACCGTGAGAGTTATATAATCAGATCTGAGTGCCATCATCAACAATTTGTTGACAGTGGCTCACTGCAAATCCACAGAGCTTGTTCTCTCTCTCTCTGTCTCTCTGTCTATCATGCAAATTGCAGTTCAGCAACTCATTTGGTGATGCCAGCTCTGCAGAATGACCTCAGCACAATGGATGATTGTGTTTCTTTCAATCATGAAGTGCTCCCATGGGTTTGAGGGGGGACCTGGAGCAAGAGGGGGACTTTCTAATGATCTGACTAGGAACTCACAGGATTGTGTGAATAAAGTCTGAATAAAAGAACACAGTGAACTTGGACATTTTAGCCAATAAGAATAATAATAAACAAGAAATCACATCTCTGAAGGGTTATAATGAGTCTGACCGACATGTAGGGATGCACTGATATGGAAATAGTGGGTCAATGTGAATGTTGGTCTTTTGGTTGATAATCAATATGTAGCAATATTGTACTTATTACATGTATTTCTCTACACAGTTCAACACTGTGGTCTGATCTGTGGGATTCATTTTCATTGAAGCTAGTAGTTTTTTTTTTTTTTTTAACAAATTCCTAATTTTCAGAATTTCTGTTCTAGCCTTCTTGTTGGTCACATTTAGTTGTAGTATAAGTAGGGATGAAGTCTCACTGTGTGAACAAGTACTTTAGTAATCTATTGATTATTCTGAGTAATCAAATTTTAAAAAAAGTATCCTAGCAACTGAAGCTAGTAAAAAAACATGAGAAAGAAAATGGTAGCAAAAATCAATTCAGTTCTTTGTTATGGGAATAAGAAAACATTTTATTTCATAAAATGCAAAGTGATTCAAAAATTTTAGTCTCAAGTTTGAAATGTGAAAATGCTATTTAAAGCACAAGAACAGAGGAGAAATAAAATTTCATATTAAGTTTTAAAAATCAAAAAAACAAACTAAGGCATTATTAAATGCTGCCTTTTGTATGATACTTTATTTTCACTTGTAAATTTGAAATATGAAAAAGCTTTTTTATAAAATAGGTATCTCCAAGCTATCTTTTTTCATGCCATCAGTTCTTTGGTCATTGAGTACATGGAATGTTAGCTAAAATGTATTTAGCATTTTAGGTCTCTTTATTGGCAGTGCTCTCTTCTGTCCCTTGCTGTCTCCCTCCATAGCGGCTAATAACACTTAGCATTCATCAACAGCTTATTGGTTTAAAAGAGAGCGTTGCGCAACACAAATAATCATCTCATTGGTGCTAAATAGGAAAGCATAATTTCATGAAGTATTTTATCTGTAAATCTAATAAATCTGTGTGCGTGTAAAACAATATGATTATGGAGTGCAAGATGCTTAAGGATCTTTGTCGGGGGTGTAAAACTCATTTTCATTTCACATTAACATTGTGAATGCTCTCAAAGGGCCAGCTGTCTCAGAACATATTGATAAAACTACCTGTTAGATTGTTATAATATTCTCTTTTTCAATGGATACTTACTAAAATTACATAATCTTGAAGTTCTATTTATGTGGTCCTCTAGAGTCCACAAAATAGCTACAGTGGGCCAGATTTGGCCTGTGGGCCTTGAGTTTGACACATGTGACTGATAGCATATAGAAGCGCACCAATGTCACTTTTCTGTCTGATTGCTGATTACCGAGCCTAACTTGCCGATTCCAATTTTTGCTGCTGATTTTTTTTTTTGTATGTTTTTTTTTTGTCTGAAATGTTGCTACATATATCAAGAAAATTGCTGAGTTGGCAACAGTGGGATGACTATTTTTAGCTGCAAATATCTGTCAGCCAAACTTCTCTCATAGGAGAGCAAAAGAGGACAGAGGCTGATACGTAGACCTTTGCTGAGGTAGATAAGCTTGGTTTCACATGCAAGTATCAGCCAAACACTGATCTTTCCAAAGCTTTCCAAAAGGCTGCCAACTTTTCCAGATCCTCCTTGCGCCTGGTTTAAAGTCCAGAAGAGAAAATCAAGCAGCTCTGAGAAACACGGTTCTCCTTCTTTAAAGACTTGCTGTTCTGCCTCAGGGAGCTCCAAACATGTTTGAACATGTAGAAAGTAGAGCTTTGGTACTTCTGTTAACTTCATTCTGTAACATCTCAACAGAGATGGGATTGAAGGTTCCTCAAAGGAACTTGTTCTTGTGGAATCTGTTCCTTTTCAGGAGGCCGGCTACATTCTGTATTAATTTTTTGTTCGCCTTGTTTGAGATTAGATTGTTTTCTGGCAAAGATAACGTTGCAAAAATATGTTACACTGTCCCAACCTGGGCACCTCAGATGATGTGATAATGCTGTGCTCCTCCCTTTGTGCCTGTTCTCCATCTCAGTCAGAGGAGGAGATCTTTCTACATCTGTGGAAAACAGCTAGAAAGTACAATTAATAAAGAAGAGCTCACAACTGCCACTCTGTTCTCAACTTTGAAAACTGTAACGATCTGATTCAGTTGGCTGGCCCAGTACCTTTTGGGTAAAGTGAGTCATTTGGATTCTGAGTGATCAAACGATGGAGTGACATGGGAGAATTTACCTCAGCTGTTTCCTTGCTTTCTAAAGCTCTTCATTAGGATTAAACAGCACCTGGTGATGAGAGTTTACTGTCTCAGGCCCTCACCTCACTGCAGGTTGAAAATCTCACAATATGTGAAATTGCAATGGTTATCTCATTATCAATATTTTATTTGCAAAAGAGTGTTTGAAGCCAGAATTTAGGTTTTAAGGTTTTCATTTATGCTGATTAAATTAATAAGATACTTGGTCAGTGGGATGGTATGGATTAACTAAAATGACTGTTTTCAGACTCAGTGCCTCGATTATAGGTTTTCCTTTTACGGCGCAACAATATATAAAACTGTTGGTGACTTTTGATGAGGGTCTTAGTCAGTCAACTATTGCTCAATGTGCTAATGGCAGAGAAACGACTTACCATTTATCCACCATCATAAGTGGCTATGCTAGCTTGCCTTAGCATTCATGGCAGGCTATGTTGTGGTGAAATAAGTGTAGTATAGGAGAGAGCAAGCAGGAGTGGGTGAGCATGAGAGTGATTGACAGCGCTAAAACCCTCCTCCTGACCCTGATTGGTTGTTTCTGACAGAGTAGTGTGTTTACAGTTGGTACTGAGAGAACTAGGAGAAGGCAAGTTTTCTGGGGGGAAACATGGTATGTATAGTTGCTAATTCATTGATTGTGAAGTTATAATAACCTTAAGCAGAAATACAGAACTACTGATTGTTATGAAATGGTTCCAGTCCTCTTTCTCTGTTCTCTGCTGTCATTCTGTCAGCTGTTCTCTCGGTTTGCAGTGTCCCTTTCTCTTGTGAAACGGTCAGGAATACTGCTGATGGATCCTGTTACCAAACCTGAAAATCTGGCTGCTATTCTCAGCTCCGTGCTCAGCTCCCAAGCTTTATTTTGTGCTGTGACAAACATTTTGTTCTTGACTTTTCTCCGACAACATAGAGGCTCTGGTTTGAAGCCACTGGCTTGTTTCAACGTCCCCCTCAGGCCCTCAGCATAAACGTCGGGCTGACGGGGCATGAGCGCGTGCGCTTGTCTTCTTTCACACGGTGTGGACAAGGTTTCCTGTTTGGACTGAGCATACGCAAACAGGCTGGTGCACATTAACTTGGCTCGGTGTTCGTTGACCTGCATGCTGGAAACATTGCAGAGGAAGACACCTGAGAACGAACCGGGCTGCAGACGGGCTGAACTTTATCTGGTGAATTATTAGTGAGTTTGACTTCATCTCAACTTCTCTTCTCTCTACAGCTGATTGAAAAGAATGACTAATACATGAGCTCATTTTGGTCAGTTGTTTATTATTACACCTTCAGATTTAGCAGGAAGTTTTTGTTTAAAATAGAATATTATTGGATGAATTAGCATTGTTTACATGTCGTTGTATGCCTGAGTTGATGTACAGTGGATGCATGAAAGACAAGCTGTGCACATTTTAACCTGTCAAGCTGGTTTGACTGAAGCTACGCTGCCTGCTAGAGGCGTTGGTGGCTCCAACGCAGCGCTGACTGAAGCAGAAATTATGCACCCGCCTGGTTTGATGTTGTTGACTGTTACTGGAGCGCACTACTTCCTGGAAAAAGTCTTCACTCCCCATTTTGAGGAAACGGCACTACAAAATCCAGTTGCTCATAACCTGCTTACTATGCAAAAGCTCAACATGAACAAGGACGTCGACTGAGAGTGTCATGGATTTGGTTGTTGTGCATTTATATGCTTAGGAAAATACAACCATCCCTGGCTGCCAAGACAACTAGATGGTGAGGTTTTAATGATCAGTGAGCCTGTGATTTTTGATTTGTAGTAAGAGACTCATGCCGTGTGTGAGTCACCCGGGCTGGGTTTAAAAGTTGGTTCTCTGCCAAAGGGCAGGTCGATACCACTGAAACCACCAACCTTGGATTTTGTCACATTGTAGCCACGCCCACTGATTTTGACCAATTAAAAATGTGAGCAACCTAAAAACTCTTATCATGTTGACTTCACTGGGACAAAAAAAAAAAAAAACAGAATTTTGTTGTCAGCTGTTTGGTTTGTCCTTGTCCCTGTGATCTCTTTGACTCCACAAACAACCCCAAGCTAGTGCTGGTTCTTAAAGCTATAGGACACAATTCAACAGCTCACATGGGAAATCATTTGTCTGAATTCCTCTAGAGCATTTTGTGACATAAAAACTAGAATCATAAAGAAGTTGTTGATGTACTGAGCTACATGTAAAGGCTGTTCAACCTCTAACATGGAGATCGACTCTCCCCCTCCCCCATAGTGGCGCTGCAACAAGAACCACTGAAGGAAAAAGGCTAATTTAAAAAAAGAAAAATAAATAAATAAATGCTGCCTTGTATACTGCTTCTTGCTATTTAGTTTGAATTTATAATTGTGAATATTTGTCATTGTATATTTTGTGTAAATATGACCTAAAGCACCTGACAACCCTTTCACAAAATAAAAGGCAATGACATAATTTATAGCAGCAGACAATCTCTCAGGTTTTCATGCAAACAGTTGAATTAACTTTGAAACTGATCCTATTTATCTGTTTCAGGTACTAACGGCGGAGTTTTGGTCACTGTAATGGAAAAACCTGGTAAGAAAACTTTTGAAATATTACTGCACTGTAAATGTTAAAGGTGTGACATTATCTGTAGATGAGAAACCTTTAGAAAAGTACTCAGGTTGAGTTGAGACAGACCAGCTGTTTGTTTCTCTGCTGGGAACACAATCGCTCTAAGTAATGCATGCACTTCCGATATATTGTATCTTTTTAAAACTACTAAATGCTTGGCTTGTTTCAGACTTTAAACAACAAATTCCCAACACGACATTTTGTCAGTTGTATATTGGAGAGCCTTAAAGGGGCAGGATTATATATTTTCCAGGCATATAGTTATATTTTAGAGCACAAGCAAGTAATTACATTATCTTCAGTTAAAAAAATGCTGCATATATCAGATATGACTTCAAAAACATTTACTTCATAATTTAGCGCTTTGGGATGTGGCTTCTGCCTCTTTAAAAGCTGTTTGAGTCCGTGAGGGCCTTTGTTCTACAACCTTTTAAGATGTGTCATTGGTCTAGCACACCTGAATAAAACCTCCTCTGCAAGTCAGGCCTTTTAAATATCAGTGATGGGCCAGAAAACTGCAATAAATGCATCCCCTACTCTAGTGTGCTGAGGCAGAGAATTGGCTGATCCCAGTTTTCACAATTAAGAATTTTATGTTGTCTTTTTTCATTGTATTAGCAGTCTATACAGCTGAGCGTCATTTTAGGGCCCTCTTCAGTTGTAGGTCTCGGACAATATACAGTCAGGGTAGAGCTACTGACGTCACACAACACTGCCCAATGATTGGGAGACAAAAGAAGGGCACTGCTTGCGACAAGCAGGACACATTCATTATGTTTGCCGTTGCACTTGTATGACTTGATGTTGTTGATCCACGTTTGAGTTTTTATTCTGCCTATGCAGTGAGAGTTCAACTAGTGGTCAAAATTCTTTCCTAAACGTTGATTCATAAAACAGCGTACCAAACCGCTCGGTGGAAACGGATCATAAGCGTGGACAATTGGTATGTCCTGCCAAAAACTATCTCTACTGATCCAATGTTATAGTTCAAGGAGCAGAAGTACTAAGATTGGATAAATTGAAGAATGTGACATCGGGACCATTGCACATTTGAGGTTAAGAAGACAGTGACAGCAGTGTCTTATTTGTTACTGAAACATTCTAGAGTGACAGGATGAATTTAAGGTTTTGGCACAATGGTAGTAACAAAGACAAGATGCGCTGGAGATGTTAGGATTGTTAATGGGAGTAATGGAAAAACATAAGATGTGTAAAACATTATAGTATATCAGGAGGAACATCTTGACTAGAGTTATTTAGCAATTAAGCAAGAGAGTTCAGGGTGTAGAAGTGATTGACTTGTCCAGAAGTGTGATTCTAGATGTAAAAGGTAAAGGTTGTTGTCTCTGATGTCAGAGCAATCTGACTCATCATGTTTTAGTTTTAAAATGTCATTAAGGATTAAAATGTCATTAAACATAATGGAGATTTGATGTATATTAATCAATTGACAATAAGCTACGTCTGCATCTTCATGCATTGTTAATTGCTGCTGCTTTGAGATTCCATGCTATTTTCAAGTTATCTGTGCAGAATACAGGCTGATTGGTGGAGTGAGGATTTAAGGGTTGACAGTTTGACGCATCATGCTTTTTATCACTGAAACCTCCTGATCGGTCCTAACCCTGAACACACACACCTACCGGTAGCAACACTGCTGGTTTCCCTTTTTTTTATCACACATAGACTTGAATCTATTTCACTGTTGACCTCAATCATTTAACAAGCTCTGAGTATCTGTGCACACTCACATTACCTGAGGTTCACTGCCACAGTGCAGGAGAGGCAGCAGTTGTGCAACGTTTGACATGGCCGTGCAGTCTCAACATTTTTGTAAGTAAACCTGTTTTCTGAATATCACATGTGGAATGTTCTTGGCTTGTGCCTGTTGCAGTTGAAGAGTGTAAGATCTGAGTCATGCTGCAGGTTGGTTGTTTGTTGTGTTTTCTCTAGATTCACCATGAGGAGGCAGGGTGCTAAGAGCGCTTTAGCACTAAGAGAACCTCAGTGAGGACAGCTTAGGGAACTCATCTCTGCCTGGACAGTGTGGCCAAGTAGTAAAAATAAACTGGACTTCCTCTTCAGCTCAGTGTGAAATGGGACCTTTCTGATCTAAACACAGTTGTGTTAAGCAGCTCACAGGTCCAGGTCCAGGCTTTGTTGAGAGGAGCTTGTTGAAATGTCTGCCTGCTGCTCCTCTTTAAATAGAATGTACAGGTTTCCAGCCATGGAAACATAAATTACACAATAAAAGCCCATCATCTCTCTTTATTTACCCAGTTGTTATTGGACTGTTGTCTTGATTGCTGTCTTGTGATCCTACATGAGTCACAGGCTGCTGTATTGCAGTACCTCAAGTGACCTGTAGAAGGAGCAAGAGTATAACTTGATTCAGACGACAAATATAAGCATATGAAAATGTACTGCACTGTTTTCTCTGTCGGTCTCACTTAGTTTATTAGTTTCTATAAGTAACAATCAGGGGAACTTACAGTTTAATTTATCTTTTATTAATAAAAATTGCATTTAAAGTAATAATTTTACTGCAGTAACGTGTTGACATAATCCATTCTCCCTGATAGACATGGTCCTGGTTCAGTGATTGGGCAATTGCTGCTATTAGACACTATGGTACCAACGATTATTAGTTGTGGTTATTAATTAATTATTGCTTAATTGGATGAATATAACTGGCACATTCAACATATTTTTTTATTTTAATACTTAAACATTTCTATGCAATACAAGAAATGCATTAAAATATAAAGAAACACCCAAATAATTTATATAAAAAAAGAGCATTCTATTGCCTAATATGCAATAACTGCATTCCTTTAGTGAACACCAGATTTTTTGTAGCAAAACAAATCTGTAGCTAAAAAGTATTTCTAACATCAACATGTTAAAATCTCAGACCTCTCTACTTGAATCAGCATCAGTACAGAACCAGACTGATGTGGTGATTGTTTTTTGGATTCATAATTGGATAGCCAACTTATTCATTCTAATAGAATTTGAAACAAGTGTAGCTAAAACTGCCAGGAGTTTCAGGTCAAACATATTTGTGGACAAAGGGTTCTTTTCATCTTTAATGTAAAAAAGTATATCATTTTTGGACAGTTTTGTCTCCACTACTGTTCTTTTAGTAAATTCCATTTTACATAACCAAAAAACAAAACCAAAACAACAATTAAAATGGATATTTCTATAGTCTTTAAGAAAAAAAACAAGACAAAAAAAAAAAGAAACTGCCCTTCAAATCAGCAGTTCGTTGAGATCAATGTGGGTTCTATGAAATCTTTTATTTTCCAAATTTTATTGTATTTTTTTCCCAAATTCAACTTTGGAATTTAGGAAAATAAAATAAAATTTTTTCTGAATTTTATTCTAACCATATTGGTTAACCCAAAAAGTATGTATTTATGGTGTGAATGAAAGAAATTGAACAAATCAATAACCAGAGGTCAACACTTATTGTTGTTCTGTTTCACAAATGAAACTAACTGTTAACAGAACATTAGTTTTACAAGGTCTTACAATGTGTTTCACACTCGTTTTTTTTAAAGAACTCAAACATTATGTGCAAAACTACAAAAGATAAAATTGTCTTGTTTAAAATCTTTTTTTATTCAAATTGTAATAGTTGTGTCTGTGTTTTTAAATACAACCACTTAAGTCATGTTGTACAGTTTTCATATAAATATCCTGAAACAGTCATGTTTTTATTCAAGGTTATTTTGAGAGATTCACTTCTTTCACTTCCGACTCAGAAAGGCATATCTGAGGTTTAGTATCTGCTGATCGTGATCCGATACGTAATAACATCTGAATTGACTTAAAATATATTCATTAAAAAAATAATCATAGACATAAATGTACTAAATTAAAAATTAATTTGATTACTCTGCACCAGTTCAGCACACCTAAATCCACCAGGTTTACCAATATTTTATCGAATATGCCTTTTTGACTGCTTGGTCAAACATGTAAAATCAAGACAAATTTAATTTGTTCAGTCTGTGCAGTTAAAAGCATTTAGTCGACGTAAAATAAGTAGTAAAGGAACTGTAACTGACTAAAACAATAGCTTGACTATCTGCCACAAACCTTTTTTTAAATGGTTCAGAAAGTAAAATTAGGAATTCTAAATAGAATATAAAATCAATGATAAAACATGACATCACCCATAACACAAAGCATGGAATTAGACTGAATAGATCTGCCCTTATGGATCAGGCACATTGTTACCGATACCCGATCTAGATTTTTTTTTTCCAATGTCAGGACCGATATAGGTATTAATATTGTATCTCTAGTTGTCACATAACAGGAGTTTCATCTGTCATATTCGGGTCGCTAACAAAAGATCTCCAGTCATTATTTTACGCATGGTTTAAAAGGACAATCCTGAGTCACAGTACACCTACATTGTGTCACTTCCTGTACTCTGTCACTGCACTCCACCTCAGTCTGGCTCACCTTGTGCTTCTCAGATTACAACAGCCTGTAGGGTCCGACCCCATCCTTTATTGTCCCTCAGTGAGAGGGTGCTGACAGCAGACAACATGTAGCATGGTAATGGGAGGGAAGAGTTCAATATGTTGCAAATCCCACAAGGCCTGATGGTCAGACCAGTCAAACCTAAAAGCCTGCCTGCTTTGAACTTTGCCCCTGAGAAATCCACTTTTAGAAATGACTTCCATCTCTGTTGGTCTACCTTTCCTGTGCACCTTATTTATGAAGTCAGATCTCCATGAAGGGAGGGACTTAAGTGCTGAGAGAGGGAGTGTGTTTGTGTTTTAAAGCAAGGAGACGAAGGAAGCAGGGAGGGAGGGAGAGAACAAGTAACTCAAGCTGAAGAAAGGGGGAGGTGCTGGACTCTACAGCCAAGAGACACTAAACGCCTCGAGTGAGCAGTCAAGACAGTAGTTACAGTAGTTTGGTGTGCTTTGGAGAAGAGTGAGGTGGAGTAAGGTTCTTCTCTCCTGCCGCGGGGCCTCAGGGGAGGCAGCGCCTGGCCAGCCGGTGGGGGCTGAGGCCCTAGCATGGGACAAAATGCTAGCGATGAGACTGTGGCCCAGCAACCGGCCACACGCCAAGCTGGTAAGTCTGAGAAAGTGACAGGACGTAAATGCAGCAGACCAGGAAACAAGCGGTCAGGTTTTTATTTTAAATTCATTTTTGCAGTTCTGAGAGCCGTCGAGAAGTTAAAGACGAGCAGGTGTTTGTAATGCGGGGGGAACGAGAGGGTGGCAGGTACAGGCAGGTGTAGAAGAATGCATGCAGATGGAATGTGGTGATTGTGAAATCCACAAACCACACAAACCTCTCTCTGTTTGCACACTTCTCTGTCCTTTTAGCAGCAGATGTTAGAGCAGCAATTAAGAGACCTGTACTATTCCACTACACTCATATGTCTACTTCACCTGTTTTTATACGTCTACACTTCTGTTCTAAATAAAGCAGATTCTGTGATTTTTATCTACTAGTAATATTCCACTTGTCTATTTCCAGACGGTGTGGAAGTTAAAAAGGATTATGAAACTTCACTGTTACTCGACAACATTGTCCTGGTTAGATATTTGCTCACCAACTGCCGGTGTATTTTTGACTTTGGTTTGCTATTCTGCATATTTGGTTTCAGCATGTCATGTGATTGGCATGAGTCAGTCGGAGCCTGACCGTAGGCCAGCAGGGAGTTAGATAAGTGCCAGCTGGTCTGTTGATGTTTAATCGCATGTTGCTTTTAAATGGGTGAGTGTTGACAGAAAAAGGGGCAAGTTCTATTGGGAGCAGAGATAGTTTATGCTAGCAGATTTTTAGAACCAACTCGTATGTTAGAAAGCTGCCATGTAGGGAACCATGGCAGCTTTCCTACATTCTTTGTTTTTGACGGTGCAGGGCCGGTTTTTGGAGGAAAGACAGTATTTGTAGCTTGATGTGATTTTCGGCGTTAGCAGAACATAGACCAAGGTTTGCGAACATTTGTAATTGAAACACAGCTTGTGTCATGATTATGGATGAATTTTGGACACCACTGGTCTAGAGTTCTGGGTTCTCTCTTATGTTATTTTTCTCTTCCGTTCAGCCCTCAAGTTTTCTAAAGGATTGAGATCTAGGGACTGGAGTGACCATGTTTTTGTATCGACTTATGTTTTCTATCATTATCCCATTGACATAATCGGGGAACACCCATATTTAGTTTTCTGTTAGACTCTGCTGGATTGTGGTATTTTAAAGAGTTTAGATGTTATGCTCTCTTGTTGTGGTGTGTGGAAGAGAAACAAGTATCATAGAACCTTCACCAGTAGTAACCATGGCAGCTTTCCTACATCCTTTGTTGCACTAGTGATACTTGTTTCTGACTGTAGTGTTGTCTTGTCTAATTAAAGTACATAAATCTAGCTAAAATCCCAAGAGAGTTAATCAAACTTCACACTTTTACATTTGGGATAGTAGAGCAGACAGATGACCATGATTGTTGTTAATATTGTCTAGTGGATTTTATGGTAACCTGATTTGGCCCAGGTGGTGAAAACTGCCCCAGTTGGGGGTCAGTTCCTGAACTTGGACTTAATATAAGCTGGCAAACTGCAAAGCAAGGTCAGCCATATTGCTGATAAACAGGACACAAATCGTTTTTACCACTTCCACCTGGGAAACATTACAGATGTATAGACTACAAACTAAGAAAAAGCTTTTTCCCGAGAGCTGTGAAACATCTGTCCACCTTCCGTCCTCTCTGCCTCCCTTGCAGACGCACTCATACCCATTTGCTAAACCCTAAAGACCAATTGAAACTTTAGCAACATACATTATGTGCTTTATTGTTTTGCTTACTTATCACTGAGGGTACCAACACAATTTTATGTTCTAAAAACATAGTGAGAAATAAAAAAAATATATAATTTGATCTATTGGCAAAAGTTGTAGTTGATCTGATTTCTGTGTCCACATGATCACAGTTTACAAATAATCTACTACTGACAAAATAATCGTTGTTTCTTGATCTACCTGAGATCTATATATCTGTAATCTTCTTATTGAAGTTTAGGGCGAAATATTGAGTCAATCCTCAGTTTGTACAGTGTAGGCCAAGAACTGCTCAAACTGCCATAACAGGGTGAAACAGATTCACTTAAACATTTTAGGCTATCACAGATCTGCGGTCCTTCACTAGCCTTAGTTTCATGACGTCAAAAAACTCACATTAAAGTAAAAATGATTATTATGGATGTTGAGTTTTTTTGTGTATGTAATTATTAGATATAGAAGTGAATGAGCTTCTCGACTAATAAAAACTGAATTGATCTGTTTTCCCAAAGTGAATAAAAAAGAGGTAAGAGTAACAATCCTGACACAAAATGGAGAATGTTAACTCTCACTCAAATTTGTAGTAGGACAGATGCTCTTTCTACTCATTTGTATTTTTGTTAGATTCTTAGGCAAATAAAATGAATAAATATAATCTGCATACTTGTAATACACTGGACGAAACTCTGATTAAAACCCTTTCCAGGCAGATGTTGCAGATTTGCAACAGCTTAATCCTACTTTCCTAGTCTTTGTAAGTAATTTGAGCCTGAGAGGGTTAAGAAATTGTGTTTGTTACTTTAGTGACAAATACAGATTTGATTGTAGCTGCTCAACAGTTCAAGGTCATTTTGTTGTGGGTTTTTTACACAGCCGTGCAGTAACAAGCCCGTTAGGGATTTCCACTCTGAAGCTGTGACTCAGAGTGCATTGCCTTGTTCTGTGTCACACAGAGGTATCAAGCATACTTGATTAGGGTTCTAATTAAACCGAAAGTCTTCAGAATTTCTTTTGTCATACTTACTGTAACATTCATGTTCATTCTTGCTATAACCAGCCGTTTAATATAGTTCTTTTTGTTGAATTATTTTTCTTAAGCTTATTTTAAAGAAATGATAATCGCAACTGAAAACATAGTATTAAGGGTAAGTTAGCAGCTTAGGTGTTGGCTAAATGTGAAATCTTGTTTTCTTGTTGCTACACAAACCTATGCTACATTGTTTTCTTTTAGACGACCGTTGGAGAGATTTCTTTGTTCTCCACACTGATTTTATTCAAGGCCTCTTCTTTAACCACGGACTCCTGATTGAATTCTTGGACTACCATAGCGGTACTCACTCGGACTGTTGTGTTATAAAAATGTTATTGTAGATGCAATTCTTCTCAGACTTTACTTTGTCATGATCACAACAAAAATAAAGGTTTTGTCATATAGCGTACTTGTATATTACAAACCAGTAAGGGGAAGGAGCTGTAAACATTTGTGACTGCCCATGACAAAACCAAGAACAAGTCTTCCCAGGTTGTTTTGAGTTTTTGTACACATTCTGAAAGTGTTGATTCTACTCTTTATAATAATATTAAACACATAGAAATGAAAAAAAAAGAAGATATTTCAAGAAAATTGTCCCCTTACCTGTTGAACTACCCTGGTGTTTTCATAAAAACTCATCATTTTCTTTGCACACCAATAGCAACAAAACGTCTGAAGACAAAAATAAGCAATTTGTCTTGAGCTTTTGCTACATTTTTCAATTAGGCTGTGAGCTTCTGTCATGTAAAATTTTGTCTTGGAGTCTGTGAAAAATTACACCATGAATAAGTACAATATGTTAGACAATGTTTTCTGTTTCATGTACACATTAGCGTTTAGACTGAGCTTAGAAAACACAGCCTTGCCCATCTTGAAACGGAGGGCATAAAACCCTATAACTTTTTCATTTTATGTGTTGCACCTGCTTTGTGCAGTTAGTCAGTGTACTGACTGAATACAGTGCTATACAGGATTTCCTGGGATAGTCCATTGGGATTTTGTATTTAAAAAAAATGAAGCAGCTGAATTTTGACACAAAATTTCCTATTTTAAAATCCCAGAAACTGATGTTTAAAGCATGCAGCGGTTTCTTTACTTCAACTAGTGTATTTTTCACAAAGAAAGTTAAATCACTATTTCTACAGAAATTGGTTGGTCTTTTCACAGTTTTGCTGTGGCACACCACATTTATTTTGTCTGCCACCACAATAAACAAAAACATGCTGACATGCTTTTTTTTTGTTTTTGAATTGGTAGATGATAAGGTCGACTTGCAACAGAGTACACCAGGGTCTGAAGAAGGAAATTCTGGAGGAGGAGCACCCCCAGCAAAACGGAAAAGCAAATTTTCCATGGGAAAGTTCCTCAAGCCCTTTAGATTTAAGAAGAAGAAGCCAAGTGAGAAGTTCTCCGAAACATCTAAAGGTATGCTTGCTACAGTAGTTATTTGTGTCGTGTGTGGTGGATTAAATAATTTATTTGTTTGGTATTTCTTCTTCAGAATTGGAAAGAAAGATTTCTGTCAGAAAATCTCGCAATGAACTGATTGCTCGGGGAGTTTTAAAAGAGATCCCTGAAAATGGTAGGTCTACATGGAAGTGCTTTATTCTCCAAAGTGATTCTAAGTTAATTGCAAAAAAGTGTTATTTGCTCATATACTTTTTTCCCTCTGCATGTGGTTAGGGAGCAACAATGAAATCCACCTCAAAGATCCACCAGTTAAAAATGGGCATCCTGTACAAACAGATGCAGATAGGGTGTCAGAAACAGGAAATCAAAAGGCTGACATCAAGGCAAATCCCATTAGGTATCCTCAAGGAGAAGATCGTCGCATCAGAACACCATCGGACTCTTCGCTCAACCGGGCGCCTCTAGATGTGGACAGATATGCAAAATTGCCAGTGGATGTAGACAGACGAAGCCGCATCCCCTTGGACTATGACAGAAGAGGGTCTGACCCTCCACAAGATGATAGATCCATTAATGACAAGAAGAGGGATGGCCAAGACATTCGGGAAAGGAGGGATCGGGACGACAGGGAGAGGAGGGATCGTGATCGGGATGAGCGGGAGCGCAGGGATCGGGACGAGAGGGGGTGGAGGGACCGCGATCGGGATGAGAGGAGGGAACGGGATGAGAGAGAGAGGAGGGATCGTGATCGCGACGAGAGGGATCGTGATCGGGACGAGAGGGAGCGCAGAGATCGGGACGAAAGGGAGAGGAGGGATCGGGACGAAAGGGAGAGGAGGGATCGGGACGAAAGGGAGAGGAGGGATCGGGACGAAAGGGAGAGGAGGAATCGGGACGAGAGAGAGAGGAGAGATCGTGATCGGGACGAGAGGGAGCGCAGGGATCGGGACGAGAAAGAGAGGAGGGATCGGGACGAGAGGGAGAAGAGAGATCGGAATAGGGAAAGCAGGGAAAAGAGAGATCGTGATGAAAGAGAATGGAGGGATCGGGAGCAGAATGAAAAGGAAAAGAGAGAGCTTGATGACAGAGAAAGAAAAGACAACAAAGATCGATGGCTTGAGCGTGAAAGGAAGGAGAATAGAGACGATAGAAAAGATAATAAAGTAAGAGAAGATGGGGATAGGAAATCTGCTCAGGTTGAGAGAGGTGATACCAGGAACAAACAGGAAGACTGGATTAAGGAACAGGGAGATGAACGTGAGAAAATGGACAGAATCTTGCCTGATGTCTCACGTTCAGTTCCTGACATGGACTTACGACCTCCACTGCCGCGGAGCTCCTCAGATGATGACAAGAAAACTGTGTTGCCATTGGACGTTGAACGAAGTTCCACACTACCCAGATATAAACCAACAGTTGAATTCCGTGACCGCTCAGGTAAGGAAATTGTCATAAGATTCAGAAAATTATCCTATTCCAAAACTCTTCCATCTCTCTCTTTTTAAGTTGGCAAAGGTTTCACAGTAGAGCTAATTATTAAGGCTCTTGAAACCGTTGCAAAAGTCTTGAATTCAGCTTTCGAGAAGCCAAGTGCGGATACTTATTTCTTGGCTGGATGTAGAAGCACACAAATATATTTTTAAAAAGTGGGTGACTACAAAGGCTTGGTACATGAGACTTTGAAAACCATGTGACTTCACAACTAGTAGTGAATAGTGAAGTTGTGAAGTCCTCCATTTCACAACTATGTAGTTTTAATGTGACACAGTGTACAAAAGTTGCTCAAAAGGTCCGAGTACTTTTTACAATGCACTGTTGAGTCAAAAGAAATCAAGAAAATCCTGCTTTGATCTGTCACCATGGGTGTACTTTAGGTTACCTCCCCTCTAATGGATATCCTACAAGCCAGCCCCTCATTTAAGCTTTTGCCTCACTCCTTATTTGTGTGTCAACGCTTTTTGTGCTTCCTTTTTACATAGTTTCCCAAAGCTCAGTGTTTGAAGCCTTGTCAACCTCTCCTTTAATGACTGTCTGTGTGTATTTGTCTCTGTCCACGCCTCTGCAGAGTCTGTCGGTGTCCGATTGATTCCTGACCATTCCCTGGAGCAAGATTCCCAAAATCAACTACCCCTACCCAAGCGAGTTTTGGTTCCCCCTAAATTCCCCACTGGTCATCTTTCCAAGTCCACCAGTTTGACCCTGTCCTTCTCTTCCTCTTCCTCGTCTTCTACCTCCTCCAACTCTTCTATTAAAGCTGCAATTGCCAAGCCCCCAAGGACTGTCTCTCTTGTAAATGACCCATTTCAGCTGCCTCTTGCTGGTGCTCTTTCAGCAGACTTTGACGCACCTCCCCCTGTTCCACCCCACACAAAGCAGCTTCCTGTCCCTGCCCCTGCCCATGTACAGCAGCCCCCTGTCCCTGCCCATGTACAGCAGCCCCCTGTCCCTGCCCATGTCCAGCAGCCCCCTGTCCCTGCCCCTGCCCATGTCCAGCAGCCCCCTGTCCCTGCCCATGTCCAGCAGCCCCCTGTCCCTCCCCATGCCCAACAGCCCCCTGTCCCTCCTCATGCTCAGCAGCCCCCTCTTGTTTCAAACCCCAAGCAACCTCCTGTGCCTCCACCTAAACCCACCAACCGCAACAGCAATCCTCCAGCGCTTGGTGAGTTTCTTTCCTGTCCTCTCTATAATGAGTTGCTTTTGTCTCTGTCTATTTGTGTCCTCTTTTGAAGTTGGCCAAACAGTCCAAATGTGATATACCTTCATCATCAGCTGTGGCCTGCCTGGCTTCTCTCTAACCAAACTGCAACTTGTGTGCAAAGTTAAGATATTATGACTTTGTAAGTGTTGTGATTCTCAGCATTCCTAAGTTGTCCGAAATCATTTTGAGGGTTTTAGAACAATTACAATGCCTGAGAGTCTTCATCTCTTTCCTATTTTAAAAACAGACACATCATAATGCACAGTTAACAATATTAAAGATGACAGAAAATAAGAGTCTCAAATGCATTTACAGTTGGAACCAGAGGTTTACATACACCAAGTAAAAAGACATGTCTACCTGGTTCTCTTAAAGCTTAGTTTGATTTAACTTCAAATAGTGAGGAAGAAATGGTGTAATGTAAACCTCTGGTTTCAACTGTTTCTTTCCAAAACTTGTATTTCTATTTGTACTAAATGTTACTGAAGGTTAGTTTTGGTATGACTGATGAAACTGTTGGTGGTGGAGGAAATATTCCTCGTATGTAAACGCACAGTTTGTGACAGCAAAATACACCTGAATTGTCTTAATTTCAGTGCAATGTAAATATTCAGTATCCTGGGGTGGAATGTGCTCCTGAGTAATCCTGTTACTCCTTAACCTGCTCAGTAAAACAGACCTAATGTTAGTGGGAAAAACAGGATAACTCTTTTAGTAATTACTCAGCTCTCCCTTGGTTGCAGTCAGCATAAACTGTGGTTCTGTAATCTGCAGTCTGAGATAAATACTCAGGGGGAACCTTGAATTGTTCTTCGTCACAGAGCTGTGTTGGCTCCACCACATTCTTCAGATGTTTCCTGTTTATTTATTGAGCTCTTTCAGCATGGCATTTCAGAAATTCTTTAAAACACGTAAATATGAAAAAATAAATTTGGGTGTAGAAACAAGTATACACGGAAAAAAGTTACATAAAATAATCAATTATAGAAAACCCAATAACAAAATTAGTTTTAATTGTTTTCTTTCACCTTTATTTGCCTTTTTGGAATGCCACTCTGCTGCAAATCAGTTGTTTCAGGAAATTCTCACTTAAACAGGAAAGTCAACTTAACAGCGCGTATTACACAAGCTTAAACTAGATTTAGATTTTGAGCATTGACTCTTCTCCTGCTTGAGAGGTTGTTCAGATATAAGAAGAGGTGAAGATACAGCACAATAACGTAAGTACCCCAATACAGGACACAGATACAGTGTTAGACTGATTGGTTCAGAGAAAGGCTAAAAATGTTAGAGCTCACCACCGAAGTTAAATGTTTAAAAAATCCTGTGGAAACATGAAGAAAACTGACAGAACTGGTATTAACTAAAATATACCAGTAGTTTGGCACTTGACCACATTTTTATGGAGGAAAAAACATAGACATGGAAATGACTCACTACTGTTAAAACAGCTTTTAAACTGGTCTGAGCGCCTCTTTAACTCCCCATTAGGCATATTATACACATTATACTTTTATATAGACGCATTTATCAGCCACTTTGTTAAAATGAATGAATATGGTTGTTTTTGGGGTGGGGGGATTTCCAGTTCACTGATCCTGCTGTGTTTTTTCTGACTTATAAAAACCAAGCAGCCTCCATCAGTGTTGCTGCAGGAGAATTTTAGCCAGCATTCATACGTTTCCTCAGGCGTCAATGAGCGGTTAGCTGGAGTCTCACCTGATCAGGGGATGCATAAATTGGTGAAAGAAAAATTTGACAGTCATTTGTCTCTTTGTCAGATGGCTGGTGCAGACATGCAGACATTTTCAACTTTACACACAGAGTAGCACATCTCAGAGGAAACTAAATCTATCAGTAAAAAAGTATGACCTCTGACCTAGACAATGAACTAACTACAGCTCACTGTCTGGGAGCTGCCAGAACATGGAAGAGTTATGAAGGCTTTGGAGCAGAGGGAGCGCATTCAGCAGACTTTTTTCCTGCAGCCCATCATTCAGTTTTGCCGACTTCTGATTGATTTATTTTGAAAAATGTTCTCTGGCGCCAAACCTTTGAGGTGTTTGTAATTCAAATTTGTAGTGTGACAGCTGAGGGCAGATTCATCCTCTTGGACAATCAGGTCCATGATTGGACAACCGTTTTTATTTTTTGTGGGACTCTGTAATCACTGCACATCTTGGACAACTTTGTGGTTGAGCTGTAACATTTCCAGTTTTCTGAAACTTGAAAATAGGTTTTGCCACAATGTTGTGTGTGATGCTCGTTCCATGTTTTCTGTAAAATTTCGTGCAGCCATACGACTGCGTCCTGATCATCAGCATAATTTCAATTCTTTGTCAAACTCATCTTGGGTATCTGAAATAAAAAGAAATATACATTTTACATTCTCCTATGTATGGGAACTTTTGTCCCACCCTATAGAACCCAATGAAAATTTAATACAATTGAATAGGCCAGTATCATTTTAGAAACGGATTATGATGACGTCTTTTGATGCAAAAAATAAAAACGACTATTGTGATCTCTGCACCTGATTGAGCTGTTGCTGCTCTCATCCATATTTTTGCAGCTACATACTTTACACCAATAGAGTTGTTCGGGAGGGCAGATGGAAACTGACTGATGTCTTATTTTTAATATTGTTTGCTCCATCTTGCCACAGCTGTTCGCTCTTGCAGCCCAGCCCATTGTTGTTGGCTTGAAACTCACGCAGCCTCTGCTGCAGTGACACATTCCACTGCCAATTGCTAGCAGCAGTTGCAATTTCACACGTTTATAATTAGCAAGTAAGCAGGGCTGGTCGAGATTGTAGCATTACGTTCTCTCTGAGTGTTTCAATAAATGGCAGCTGGATGTGTTTTGTTGCATCATGAAGGTGCTCCACCTCATCCAAAGGCCCTGTTCAGATCAAAGACCCCAGATGAAATGGGGATTGAAGGACCAGGGGATGATCTGTAATAAATTGGTGTGAGTCGAAGCATAATGGGTTGAGACCCACAGGGTGGCAATAACAGCCTTTTGGCGTTTTACTGTCGGCTGGCCGTATGCTCAACTTTAGGTGTCTTGAATTAATGTATCTAAAATTAAGGCCTTAAAATGTCTTTAAAACAATTTAAAACATTTTCTCCTTTTCAAAACATAACTTTATTATGAACAAATATTACAAAGAAACGTCTTCAACGCAAGTAATATCAGACTAGAATACATTAAACCAAATATTAAACAGGAATGATGATATACAAATAATACAAAATAATCAGTGACATTTTATTACTCAATAGTCTTACAGTTTACAAAACAAATGACATAAAAACGGAATGTGGTCTTTGAAACGTTAATCTCAATACAGAAGACTTACGGTGACAAATGAGAAAAATACTAAGAGGAAATGTAATTGTCTAAGTAAAATTGGAATGTAACAAGATCTATATTTAATCTCACAAGTCACCGTCTTAAAAGAAGTAATAGTTATTAAATATTTACTACAAAATATTGGGATAAATTTATATCATCCAGGCTTACTTACAAATATATATCAAATATTCTATTGTACATTCATGTTACAATACAGGCCTAAAATTCTTAAAAGTTTTAAATCTTAAATTTCACTTGGTAATAGCTGAGATAAGTGCAGTGCTCTGACACACAGGGTGTTTCCCATTCTCTGCTGCTGGTTGTCATGTTTATCTCCCAGCATGGAATGTAAGCCAGCTCCATCCCTGACGTCTCCACTCATTTCTGCCAGCTTCCTCCCTGAACAGGGTGCCTCAGGTCAGGCAGCCGTGCCCCTGGAGGGGCTCGGGACTCGAGCAGAGCCGGGCCGGCCTCTACCTCTCTGCCCATATACCTGCGCCACAGGGCCGACCGGACCCGCTCAGGTACCGGGGCCGGACGCCCGAGCGGCTCGCCGTAGCCAGTCGACCCCATCCCGTCATCTGAGTGTTAACTCCATACATGCACTTGCTGATAATTCAGCTTTTTTCCCCCTTCTGGTTGAACTAATGTTTTCTACATGAAGAATGGCCTTGCATGGAAAACGCTAGAATGAAGTGAATGTCCTCATTAATTGAGCTGTGACCATGATGACCTGGAAACAGTGTAGCTCTGGAACGATCATCTCCTACTGACTCAGCTGTTTGTTCAGTAGTTTTGTTGCTTGTCGTTGTTGAACTAACCTCACCAGTTGCTTCTGCATCTTCACATCCTGAATGGTTCCCTTGACTTCTTCACACTTTAATGCTTTTTTTTCTTTGCTTCTTTTCCTTCACAGCTGAGTTCTCTCAGGCCAGCGGCGGCGTGACCCCCAGCATTGCTTCCGCTAAGCGCTCCCCACCAGTCCCACCCAAAAGGACGACCCCCGTCAACAAGCACTACTCTGTAGACCCCACTCAGGTTCCAGAGCCGCCCTCTGTTAATCCCGCAGGGCCCCCTGCCGTCCCTAAAGGTGGAAGCAATGAGGAAAGGACGCCCATGACTGTCCCCCAGAGGACGGCGGAGGCTGCGCTCCCGCTGCCCGCCCACATACCCCCGTCTCCTCCCAGGGTGAAGGTGCTCCCTCCACCTCCCACCTCGTCTGCTGGGGCCGTTCCCGTCATCCAGACGGACCTCCCCAGCCCCACCACGGAACTGCCCAGCCAGCCTCCGCCCGTCCCGCTGCACATCCTCATCAAGAGAGCTCTGAACAGCCCTGGCGCAACCCAGCCCAACCCTGAGGGATCCCAGAGGGCCCACTCACTGCTCTTTGATCTTCCCCCAGAGGACCCTGAAGAGTCCCTGCTGAACTCGCGTCACTCCCTCCCCATCTTTATCGAACCTCTCAGGCTGTAAGTAACCATCAATGTCACTGGTACCCAGATGAAGATCTGGGTTTGAAACGGTTCTGGGTTTTTTATTTGAATGGATTTTTATACAGTAAAGAAATTTATTGCAGAAACTGGATGATTTTCTGTGAGTCAAATTAAAATTGTCATTTTCCATTTCATTTTTTTTTAAATTTCACCCTCTCAATAATATATATAATAAATCAGGGTTTCCCCCAGAAAACCAGCTAAGCCTGGTGGTAGACGCATTAGGGCCGCCATCCAGCACCTGTCTGTGTTTTTCAGTTAGAAATGTTTAAAGTTCACAGGAAATTTGAAAATATCATTAGGTAATTATGTGTTATTGGAGGATATTTTTAGCAGTGTCTAAACATCAGAAAAAGGCAAACATAAAAAAAATACACAACGTAAAAATAATGTTTTTGAACTTCAGTTGTTTCATTCTATTTAAAGTGCCCAAACATTGTTTGGTCTTGTGTTAATGACTTGTCACTTGATTTGCTGAAGTTGTTGGCTTGTAAACCTGTCAAGACAGGCAGTGGCTATGCAGTTCTGGTGGATAAAATTGATTAGTTGTCAGAATAATTGATTACTAAAATAACCATAAGTTTCAGTTCTAGTATGTGAAATCTGTCAGAGTGGAAAGGGAATGGAAACAATCTTCAGCATGTGATGCCGTTGTCTTTCCAGGCCAGAGGATGATGACTTTGACATGGAGGAAGAGCTGCAGAAGCTGAAAGCTGAACGGGTCCGCCAGCAGCCGGAGCTGGAACCCCGCAGCAGGAGGGGCCTGATTGGAGACCCCAGGGTCACAGTAATACCTGAACAGGGTGGCCACGAGGACGAGGATGACTCAGACTCCGATGGGCCCATCCTCTACAAGGAGGACGAGGACGACGAAGAAGAAGGCCCTGCAAGTAAGCTGCACTGTTGCATTTAAAGGGGAAGCATCATGTTTAATCAAATTTATTGAGCTTTACATCCTGCTATAATATTATTTCCTCATCAAAATCATACTTGAATTGTTGCCTTGATTTTTTTCATGTTTGAAAAAAATCCTTTAATCTCCATGCCAACCATTCAGCTTTGCAAAATGACTAGCCCCGCCTTCGAGGCACAGCTCCTCCTCAGACCTGTAGTTTCCAAGCTTGCGAGGTTCCTCCTCACAGAGCAGCCCTCTGACGATGCCCCCACTCAGCTCCTTCAGACTATCCAGCAGCAATTAGCAAACACTCGGTGGAACTTTGCCAGCAAGCGTTAGATTTCTGTTGCAGAAATACATGAGCCTAGAGGAGCTGGTGGCACTGAATGTTTTTAAGTGTGTCCTTACTGACTTTCAGAAGGAATCATTTGTCTGGAAATGTTTTGACTGGAGAATTTTTTAATTTATTTATTTATTAAGATGTTAGTTTTTCTGTTGATCTCTGTGTGCTTCCTCCAGTCTTGGTCAGGATTCCCTTGCAAAAGAGATTTTAAATCTCAATGTGGTGAAATAAAGATTAAGTTAAAAAAAAGAGAAGCTTTATTTAAAGAGACAGAGGCCCAATTGCAAGTAAAATTTAATTTAAGTTCATATTTGTAACGACTGAAGGTAACATAGTTACTTGTTTGTGCTGCAAAATGACACTATGTGGCTGGAAATCACATAATTTTGCCTGTAACAGCCACACCCAGTCTCCACCCATGTCTGTATTAATATGGGGGTCTGGTGTCTGACAGGTGGACTGGCGAGCCGCGTGAAGAGAAAAGACACCCTGGCTCTGAAGCTGGAGAGGCAGGAGAAGCATGAGAGAGAACAGAGGGAAGCCCAGGAGAACCAGGAGGAGATGAGCTGGAGCAACAGGGAGCAGTGGTTGGCTGTGAGGAACAAGATCGGCACTGCGCTCACACGGTAAGACACACACACCCACCCACACACACACACACACACACACACAACACACACCTGCCACCGCCACAACACTGGGAAGTTCTTTTCCCTGATTCCATCTGTTTATCTATTCTCCTTCCTCCACTTCAGAAATGCACTGCATTATTTTTGCATTCTTCACTGATGTGACAGATGAACTAACTTCCTGTATGACTGACGGGTAAATATGTTGCTTATGTTCAGGCGGCTGAGTCAGAGACCTACAGCGGAAGAGCTGGAGCAGAGAAACATTCTTCAAGGTGAGACTCACTTTGTCCGACCTTCACATTACAGTGAAATATGTAATCTGCAGAAAAAGATCAGTTCCTCAATGACTTCTTAAGTTTCATAGTTTCATTTTTTTCTCCCAGTTTAACCTTCATTACCATTCTTTTGGTAATGTTAAGTACAAAAAAAATCAAGAGTTCTTTCAATCAGTGAATTTATTAGTTCTGCTAAATAGTAACAAACAACACTCTTCGATGTGAAGGTTGTTACTAAGTGAAGGCTAGCTGCTAATATACCCCGGCTGGCTAGTTATCCAGCTAGCTTTTTTCCTGTAGCATGGGCACAAAGCTAGGCTCACAGTTTTGCTATGCTTGATTGGAATACAGCAGGATCCCCATATTTGTAATTATTTTAATCTTAAATGTCATTCAAAGTGGCATCAAAAATGTCTTAAAAAGTCTTAAATGTAACATGCTGAAACCTGCAGATACTCCAGTATCTGTAAATACAGAAATCAGTTTCTAATATCACAATAACACCCTTGTTAGAAAATGGTCAGGAGGGGTGCTGATACACCGTGGACAGCAGCCAGTCTCTGTGCCCTGCAGCACAGAGACATGCACAGGACATGTCTCTGTGTCAGCACAGAGACATGCACAGGACATGTCTCTGTGTTAACCTGACAGTCATGTTTTGGACTGTGAGAGGAAGCTGGAGTACACGCATGCACAGGGAGAACATTAAGAAGGACCCCGGCCCGAACCCAGGACCTTTTTGCTGCAAGGCAACAGTGCTACCAACTGCACCACTGTGCAGCCCCTTTTTGTAAATAAAATCTGTATTATAAGTCAAGAAAGCTATTTGAAACATTAGTGTTGCTTTTAGAAGTTTCTAGCAAGACCGTGTTGCCTTTTCATATGAAAGAAATGCTTAAATCAGTTTGTGTTGTAGTGAAAGAGACCATGAAGTGTACAATTTACACATTTTTTTAGCGTCGTTACGCTGAACTCCAGCATCGTTCCACTGTTTATGATTTGCCTCTCCTGCCCGGAGTTGATGCTGGGTGGGAAAGAAGGTGTTCAAAGACTTGAGCTGTGTGATGTCAGGTAGCATCAGGTAGAGCTCCAGTCAGGACAGGCACAGACAGGCTGTGGAGAAAATCAGCTGAAAGGAAAGTTCTGTTCCTCCCACAGAGAGGTTGGTGCTGAAATAACACGCATCTCTGATCATGTTTAGGAGAATGTTTAGAGGTGTTGGAAAATGCTTCTGTAAAATCAAACTACTTCAGATACAGTTTGTTTATTCATCAGAGTCCTGCTCTGTCAGTTTGAGCTCAGTCTCTGTGTGCCTTTAGCTGGGATCAGAACAACATGGCTCCTTGTGCAGAGCTTGGCAGTGCTTAAAGAGCTTCATTATGGCAGCGGGCGGACAGCAGCTCAGGTGAAGCTTACCTGACTGGCTGCTCTGTTTTCCCCTCTCATGAAACGTTTCCCCTTCCCACAGCCAAGAACGAAACGGATCGTCGGATGGAGCGATCTGAGATCAAACGGAGGCTCACCAGAAAGGTGGGGGACGTTCGGCGAGCGTACGTTTAGCAGGTATTTTCCTGAACTCCCGCTCTAAAACCTCCTTGTTCTTCTACGTTCAGCTGTCTCAGAGGCCCACGGTGGCTGAGCTGCAGGCCAGGAAGATCCTGCGTTTCCACGAGTACGTGGAGTCCACCCATGCTGAGGACTACGACCGGAGAGCCGACAAGCCCTGGACCAAACTCACTCCTGCTGACAAGGTGAGACTCTCGCAGTTCACAGCTGGTCGCTGCTGAGGGAAGTCTTGTGTGACGGTCAGGTGTTCAGGAAGCAGCCACCTCATAGTTCGGTAGACTCGGTTCCATTGGGACCAAAACTACATTTATTCCATTTCCAGCTGCTGTGGTTCTCTCTCTCTGTTAAACCTCTGAAGAGGAAACTGACAAAAATTGCCTTCTTCACAAAATGGAAACAAGAATGGAGTTGTGTCAGATTGGAGAATTTCTCTTCTGATAGAAGATCATGACCCATTTCTTCCGCTGGCGCTAGATTAGTGGGTTTGTTTTGATTGTATTTACCCAGAATGCCCTGCGCTGTAGTTTGCTTCCTGCTTTTGGGACAGTTTCTGGTCCACATATCAGACTGTATGTGGACCAGTCTGATTTAATGAGTGTTAAATCTTTTTAAGTCTAATTCTTAAAAAGATTTAAAACTTTATGTATCTGAAATAAAGGCCTTGTAGGAAATGCAAATTGGACTCAAATATAGTAATCATATGTCTTAAACTTTGTCATAGGAGGACAATTGTTTGTTTCTTTTTCAGGGGGCCGTGTGCAGACATCTCCGTTTTGACTTGACACGGTTGAGCCTACTGCTAGCTGCTAAATTCCCTTGCTACCTAGCTTTTTGTGTCTATAATGGATAAGTGCAAACCTATTCCCAGTTGGCTGGATAATGTTTATTTTCACCACTGTCTCACCTCTGTTGACCACTCCAATGAGGCTTTTTGCTTTCTGTACAAAAAACCCCAAAAAACAACTTTTAAGTCTGGCACTATGAGGGTTTTTGTGACGCTTGATCGCAGGATTCAATGTGACATCTAAAAGCTCTTAAAAAGTCTTAAATTTGACTTGCTTGAACCTGCATTGTGAAAAGCAAGTTTTCAGAATTGTGTCCAGAAGGTTCTGATCCTGTGTGTTCCTGCCAGGCCGCCATCCGCAAGGAGCTCAACGAGTTCAAGAGCACAGAGATGGAGGTCCATGAAGAAAGCAGGATCTACACCCGGTGAGCCGCCGCGCACTCCCACATTCACTACAATAATTTATAACAAAATAAATACCTTTTCACACACTTAATCCAAGTAACCATCCAATTAACTTGGTTTATTATTGTATTGGTAAAATGAAAACTTAGCATTTTGTTACTTCTTTATTTCTCCCCTTCATCTTTTTGGACCCTCTTGTCATTTTCTCTTGACATATTTTGGCCCATGTGACAAAAATTGTACACCTCAGATCTGGATTGTTAGTCATTTTTCTTCCATGTCGCTGTCGGATAAAATTCACTGAATCAGTGGAAGTTTTGGAGGAAGCCTCATGTTTACAGATGTTTCCATGTGTGCCGTCCTGCAGATACCACCGGCCCTAGCTGCACACATCATCATGTGAAGCTCTTAGGAAGAAGCAGCAGCAACTTGTCCCATTTCCTCCTGTAACCTGAAGATGGCGCCAACGCTGCCTGAAGAGTCTCAGGATGTTGTTGGACTGTGGTGGAGTCTGCAGGAGACGTGGGCCCCGTGGGCCTGGTGGGTGTTGCATCGGCTCGGTGACTGAACCAGAGGGGGTTCCTCATCATGAGCCGGTTCTGCCTTAACGCTCCTGAACACTGGTACCAGGCTGAGGCCAAACAAGAGATTGCTTCAGAACCAGCCTCTGATCGACTGTTTTTGTTAATCACAATCCCATATCGCTAGATGATTTTTGATAAAAGCACCTTATGCTTCCTAACGGGGTTGATTGAAAACTTAACAGCCTTTAATTCTGTGTTTATATTTGATATTTTTGAAAGCAGGAAAGTGTACATATTTTTCTCTTCCTGCCTGTTTTATGGTACTTTATATATGCTGCTCCATCGCGGGATGCAGGTGTATGGAACGATAATGTAGATTTAATAAACTTCATATTGTAAACTACTGACAAGAAATGCTGACATGTTTTAATTGTTTAGTATTTCTCTGATGTCATTTCTGAGCATTAAAGGTACAGATCCTTTTTCTTTTTTTGATACAGAGCCTGTAAACTGTGTCGTCTGCAAACACTGAATAACTGATCGATTTGATTAGAAAATAAAAAAAAACAATGATTTATGAAGGCTTCTTGTTTCTGATCTATTATTTCTTTTGGTTCTCTGGTATATTTTTGGAATATGCAATTACCTGAGCTTGGCCACATGAGGGCAGTGTTGTATGAAGGACTGTCACCAACCAAACTATTTAGAGGATTCGGTTTCACAAAGTTTCTGATCTGTAAATATGCAGAAAAAGAAAATAGGTCGTTGAAAATGAATTTATATTTTCATACCCTATTCTGTGTAGAGACAGGAGAATTACAGTTATTTTATCAGTTATGTGGAAAATCTGTATTTTCTTGAGCTGGTGCTTCTGCTGTTATTACATGAAAGGAGTCGACAACAAAACATGAAGGAAAAGAAATATATTTAAAAAATGTAAGCCTTTATAGCATAGCTTTCCACAGTGCGGAAAGAAATGCCTCAAAAAGCCACGTAAGTAGAAATAAATTGCAAAATACCGCACCCTGGTGGACAACATAGGACATTGCCGGCCAAGTGTTTTGGAAAAGACTGTTTTTCTCTTCTTTTTTACCTTATCAAAGTATTGATTATTATTCAGACTGAACTTGAAGTATATATATAACATGTAATGCAGGATTACAGTTGGATATAATGGGGGATTTTTTTTTTTAACCTCAGGGTGGTCAACTTTCTATTATTCCTATATCGATTTGATACAGTAAGAGTTCCCTTACTTCCTGTAATGTTCACGCATGTCAAACCTCTGCAGTGACTTAGCAGATCTGCACTTGTGTGTTTCACTCTTAGCAACAAAAGGGCAAAAACATTTGCACAGCTTTCCTCCTCAAACTAACCAAGTGAGATTAATGCTGTTGGATGCAGGCAATGTGAGCTAACTGACTGACTAGTTAATGCCAATAAATCACATTAAGCTTTTTAACAAGTATAGACTTCTGATTTTATTTTGTTCAAAAGTGAGTAGTATGGTTACATTACTTGAGAAACCTTTTGGGGAAAAGCAGCTTGAATGTACTGTACGTCTTACAAATGATTATTATTGCTACTTAGATTGATATCGCATTTTGATAAATAGACATCTGATGATGAAATCTGAGCACAATTCCTCCACATTTTATACATGTCACTGATGTCATTGTTCACATCCTTATTTATTTTTGTTTTATTAATAAACATTGTTATTTTTATTTGAAAGGTTTCTTAAAAGTTTTTTTTATTTTTTTTATTAAAGTACAAGCCAGTTTACTCTGCCCCATAAAAGAGCAGCGTCCGCCCTGCTAAGCTCCTCTGGAGCCGGAGCTGGATGAGCAGGGCAGGTTTTGAAGTTTGATCATTTTCAAGGTGGGCAATGTGTGTCGCCAATCAAATAAATTGATTGGCTGCGCGAAGGCGTGCTGCATAACCGTGGAATGCTTTCGCACTGGTGGAGAACATCGCCAATAGATGTTGATTTTCTTAAAGCACACAAAAAAGCTGGGGAAAATATTTTTGTCAAATTTTTTTGTAGGATTTTTCCAAATGACCACTCAGGTGGACAACATGGCTTAGTTTTTCTTTTTACTAATGAACTGCTGTATATTATAATGTGAACATATTTTGACATTAGTTAACATAATGCATAAACATAGAACATCTCATCTTAACAAAACAGTCACTACTATCTCATCTGTTTTCTTCCCTCTCATTCAACTGCTTGATCTCATTTTAGTCTCATTTTGCTTCCTCTCCAACAGTATGATAATGTGAACATTTCTAATTTTACAAAAGTGAAAATGACACTTCTGCCATTCTGTAGGATGACATCACAGTCTTTTCAGCTTCAGACTTATAAAGATGCCAGTTTATCTTCCATAAAAATGTGCAAAGCAACCAGGTTGCAAATACTACATTGGATGCAGATTAGTTTGCTGTGCAGGTTGGATTATTGTGTGTTGATATATTTTATTTCAGAAGGTTGGGCCAATGTTTTCCAGGCCTCAACCTCAAGAAGTGCCTTAGACCAGTGTTGTCCAAAGTTGATCCTCGCCTTTCAACTCCAGGCATCCTGCATGTTTCACTTCTCTCCCTGGCTTAACACACCTGAATCAAATGATGGCTCATTAGAAGCCTTAAGATGAACACTGACTTGCGGAGTAGATTTTTATTTTATTTTTTTACTACCATCAGGCAGAGAACTAGAACATGCAGGATGGAAGCCCTTGAAGACCAGCTTTGGATGCCACAGCCTTAGAAATCAGTCTGCCTTGTAATGGTGATGGGATGGCCCTGGCACTCTTGAGCATGTCTGGATGGAATTCTCATTTATTAGCACATTCTGAACAGATACCAGGCATTGGGAATAGTCGGGTTCAAGAAGTGAAAGAAAAAAAAAAAAACACTTGTTATGTCAAGATAAAGACCTGGCCATGATAATCAATACATTCTTGACTTTGGGCATCTGAGGTATGATATGATGTTATTCATTACATATTTATTTTTACATAATTTTTAATGAACCCAAATTTATCTACAGCAACTTAGACCAGCTGTAAAGTTGTTTATGCGTGACTTTGGTCATGGTTTTAAGGAAATGTTAACAGATATATCGATATTGCATTGAAGAAATCTCGAAACTTAACACATGATCTGTTTTTCCAAGAGCTCCATCTTTTTTGTCCTCTTTCGTTTCTCTGCTCTCTGAAAAATATCTGGTTCATTCTCATTAGCATCTCATTACTATGCCCTGCTGAAGCAGGCGTCAGCAGCCGGCCAGAAGGTGGCGCTGATCCATGTGGAGGAGCTGTGCCCGTTTCCTGTCGAGCCTCTGCAGCAGGAGCTCAGAAAGTATCTGAACACTAAAGGTAGAGAGAGCCACCCCACGCTGACACACAAACACAAGCACACACACACATGTACACCCCCCTCCCCCCACACACACACACACACAAACACAAGCACACACACACATGTACACCCCCTCCCCCACCTCCCCCCACACACACAAACACAAGCACACACACACGCAAGTCTGACAGGACGTGTTGCATCAACCGAACCCTGGTGAGTTTTATTATCTTCACACTGATTGATGCTCAAGATTCTCTGAGGAACTTCTCCATGTGATTGTTTTTAGTTTTAAAAAAACAATCACATGGTTTCATATGAAACCAAAAATTTCCAGCTCTTTCCAATCAGAAAGACCTGAAATTTGCAGTTTAATTCTACCATCCAATTAAAACTCATTTTCCTTCATTCCTAGGAAGATAAAGGATTAGCTCGTTGGTTACAATCATAACTTTCACGTCTCAGAGGGGGCAGACTGTGTGATGAACTAGATAAGCTGTGTATTCACTATCAATCAAACCCGAGGCTGTGTGCTGTGACTGTTCAGGAAAACCAAAATGAGTTCTGAGAGGTTTCTGGAGACATGCAGACCTCGGCATCAACTTTAGTGTTTTGTTTACTTATACTTTAATAGGATTTGGTTGGCCTTTTGTTGGAAATATCCTAAATGAATACACCTGGCTAATACTGTGAGGATCTGCAGGGAACAGCTGCCTGATCAGCAGCATGCATGTTCAGTAGTCCCCAACACTTCTTAATGTTGGGGACTACTGACAATAGTTATCAGGGATAACCCTCTTGACTATTAACAAAATTGTGAAGAGAAGAAAAAGATCTTTTGAGCCAAAACATCTTGTATTTAGCCACATCAGTGTGAGTCTGTGGGGGTCAAAGGGCACACCAAAGCCTAAATCTTATTGGTCTTATTGGTGGCTTTTGCTGTGAGCTAAAAATTAATGAAACCACTAACACCTGGAACACCAAAGACATCCTGTGATTATCGCCTTACTTCCAGGGAAGACTCGTAAGCCTTCGCGTCCATTTTACGTGCCCAGGTGAAGCTGCTTAAACCAGTGCTGAGTCTCTGACATCAATGGTTGAAGCACATGTCAACTCAACATCTCCAGAGTCCAGTTCAGGAAAAGAAAGTAGTTCAGAAAAAGCTCTGAGGAGAAACAGGATGTTTTCTGTAGTAAACCCAACTTTAATTATTAGGTTGGAGATTACATGGTTCACCTAAAGTTGAAAAAAAGCTCCTGTGATGGAAAATGTTATTATAAGGCGACATCTGCTCGCTATGCTATGTTATGTCTTTATTGTAAGTGCACTCAATGAAACTGTTTGGCATACACACACACACACACACACACAACGTTGTTTTCCTGCAGCTGCATGGGAGCCAGACTGTTTCTTATGTCTAGGATTTCTTGTCTTCAGTATAAAACTGCTGTGTTATCAGAGCTATTTCAGAGCATCCCTGAGGTCACATGGTGTCCACTCGGACACCACTAGGAGGGTAAGCTTTAATGTGAAATAAGTCAAAGAGAAGTCCTGATCAACACATCAGTTTAGGTTTTCTAATCTCTGGGATCTAAATCTGTAAATGAACTGGTGTTCTATGGTGTTTTTTCATTCATTCACACTTGCATTTTGCCAGTGAGGTTGGTACGTTACTTTTGCATATTATATGCATTATGTAAAACATCTACTGTCAATTTGTTATTTAGTGTATCCACAATAACTCATTATAAAATGTATTGGGGAAAAAATATATTGCAATAGATTTCCAGTAATCAGGAATAAATATATTTTTCTTTTGTTAGGGATCCCATTAAGATACAGTGCATGGTCAAAATCAACTGGAATAAACAACATGTGGATTGGTGCTTTCTGATAGGACACACATTGACAGCTCATAGAGGAGCTGTCAATGCTGCCTACTGTCTGGGTAAGGTCTACTAATGTGACATCTGGACTATCAGATGTGAAAACACCTTCGGCTGATTTCGTCTGGCATGAGAAGAAATCAAACATAATTAATTTGTTTGGCACATTTCAGTAACAAGGAAGTTCAAAATGCTTTTCATTAGAAAAAACATCATACAGCCATCAGTTACGACACAAGAAATAAACATTAGAGGAGCTGGCAATGTTGCCTGACACGTCTCTGCTACTTCCTCAGAAACAGGCCCTCCAGCATTGTGGGGCGTTGCC